ATTTACAAACGCAAACATCTTCGGCCTCGAAAAATTGGCTTACGCGTTTTGTTTCAACATTTCTTACATTTAGCGTTCTGCTAGGATGCGTCTTAGTGGCGAAAGGAAATGAGCTATGAAATTCACTTTTGCCTTCCTGTAGTTTGTACTTTTCTCTTTCTCATAGCTATAGAGTAAAATTGTGAGTTCACTTTAAGGGTTATCCATCAAAATATTAAAAAACTAAGAAGAGATAAATATATTAACAAGGATGTCTTTATTACCCACATGTCTGAGCAGGCTGCGAGTATGGCATGTCTATATGCATCTGCAGCCTGAATGCTGAAAACGCGGAAGTGGTTTCATTCTTGCCTATTTATGTTCAGCCACTTTCTTTATAGCGGTACATTTGGTGTCCTGACGTCACACTGGCTAATCAGTAGGGAATTCGTCTGTTATTTTTCCCAATGCTGTTGTTTGCTACCTGACTTATGATGAATAGTGGATGTCGTAAACCACTATTCGTTAATAAAACAAAAACAGCATTGGAGTTCCCCAATCAATCTACTCATCCGGTACCACATACCCCCACCTTTAAAGTAAGCATCACTTTGTGATTAGATGGAGATGCTTTGCTTATAGCAAAGTGCAGCCGGGTTCAAACACAGTAAAAGGAATTTCACTTGGGACCAAAATAGTGGCTAATAATAAAGTAAACCAAAAACCAAATGCCGTCTAGATTTTTTAACAGAATCGTTTTTACCATCTTGAGATTCGGATATATTAGACTCCTTACGGGAATATCAGTGGACTTAGATATCGGCGTTGATGTCTCTATTACCGAAGTGAATGAGTAAGCAGAGTGAGAGTAAGAATAGTTTATGGACAGAGTAATAATCGATTGGCCTTGACCTTATAATTAGTTATATAACTCATCTGGGCGTAATCTCAGCCGATGAAGGAGGAGGAAGAAAGAAGGGCGATTTATATAAAGTTCGAAAGTTAGCCACAAATGGTAAGCCTCTATAAAATCAAATAAGAATTTTTTCTTAGGACTACAAGCGTTTGTAGCAACGAATTTCATTTACTCTTATAAATTAAATTCAGTATGATTTTTATAAGATGAATTAGAGAACAAAAATTAAAATTACCCACCTTAATTCATCAGAAACAGTAAATTTGCAAGGATCATTTAAGTCAGACCGAACCTTCGCATTTGACAGGCTCTCCGACTGGTGGGCTACAGTTGTATTACACACAATAGCAAGTGACAAATGCGCCATTTTACTTGTCATCCAGTCCAGTAAAATCCAGATCAGGTTAGGCAAGATGTCGCAAGACCTGTATGCAGGCACATCTACTAGTATAGAAGAATTCAAGTACTCTACGCTCATACAACGATCAGGCGTGCAAAATAGCCGAATGGTATGGACGGCCTAAAGTCTGTAGAGGATTTATTATAGATGGTAGTAGTCATGATGAATGCCATCCCATCATCTTGGCTTGTAGAACTTCCGTATATCTGCCTTCTGTTCACCTGACTGTGCCTTGTTGGACTTATCTAGATGATCCATGCTTACTCGCGCTATCTTGAAATTTTACAAGGCAAATCCTTCGCATTTACGAAAATTTACTATTTCGAAATAAAATCGCAGGGTGCCTACCAAAACTGTATGACTCGACATTGTTCTCCACACTAATATGTACAGTACAAAAACTCGGATGGAAAATATTGTAGCATCCACTTTAAAGCTCAGATCATTCTCCAGGTGATCACTTTATATTTGGACCCCCATAGAAAAATTTTGGAATCAGGATAGCCCCCACTTTGTCGCAGGTTTTAAGCTCTTAGTTATGACAGGAAAATGCGTATAATTATCAATTCATTTTTTTTTCTCCTGCCTCTTTTAAGAAATCATGTATCGAAATAACTCGTTTTGCAAGCCATCCGTCATACAACAATGGTAGAATGCTTATGCAGCTGCAGTGCTGCTCTAAGCCTTTTGTAGGCAAAACGGTTGGTTTCTATCACTACTTGACTACCTTAAAAAGCCAAACATTTGTCTCATAACGTACTACACTGTGTAGCTCACGGGACTACCTAGACGCGGTGAATCTCTGCATGAGTATCCAAAATTAGAGGTGGGTTCTTTCAACACGGCTATTCTCCGCTGTCGTGAACCAGCACATAACCAATAGGTATGGCTGGACTACTTTGTGTCCATCAGCTCTTCTTGACACAAATATCACCTACTTCCTTTCAAAATGCTCTTGACGTTTTTCAATATTAAGAGAAACAAATGAACTTTTACCACCATTTTTATCTACGGCCAATAAAGTTCAAGATCAAAGATTCATAACCTTAAGTCATATGAGCAAGATGTGCTTCGATCAAAAGTATCGCACGTTGCATTTACCAATTGATTTCAATCAAACAATTATTCACTGAGCACACATAGTGCTTGTACACATGGATGGCATCGTGGCCAGTGATTCTATGAAAGGAGGCATGGAATACATTGCATTACATTAGCGTCTTCTACGAATACCTTGCATCATTTCATTTCATTGCTTGATTACAGTAATCTAGGACTGCATAGAATGATGCTCCAATTTTACATGATCAGCTTTTCAGAAGACTTGTAATTATTTCAAGTCATCTGAAAATGAAGGAAAAAGAAACCTAATAAATATGTCCATGTTATTTAATCTATGGACTTGGTATGGGGGGTGTGACGTGTATTAGAGATCATGAATAAATGAGGGTACAGAAAATCAGAAATAGGATGTTGGTTGGCTCTATTTTATGAAAAATGGTCTCATTCCATTTGCACCATTTGACGAACTCAACCTTGGGTAGCTTCCGATCAGCTAATGACTCTGTTTTAGACTGAAGCTGTAATAAGAAAAAAGTGTGTTTCACTAACTTGTTTGTAGCTGGGAAATTGCTTACATCAGCTATTAATTTGGTCTTTTAGCAGGCTTTAAAGTAGGACGCAGCATTTTCTCCTTAATGAGTCCTAGGTGAATTCGGATAAGAGCTGCCTGCTTTGGTGTAATTCAGTAAAGTTGACACAATAGATGGAATTTCTTATAGCGTCTTTAAAGTGCTTTAAACTTTAAGCGTTATTTAGACTTTACACTTGATCGAACTCAGATATGCAAAATGAGGCACAGAATGCAACAATCTCAAGTTTATTTATTCAAAGAATTACCTGGAAAAACCAGTTGTAACCGACTCCATTGGAGATAAATTGAGATATTTTCATATACATTATTCAATCTCTTCGGCTTACGTATCTCTCAAACCATTACGCTTTATAGCAATGTGTAAAATTTTCTTAATAGCGTCTAATTCTGACTTTAGTCAATTTGCTGCTCCTCCCTGGAGTAATTTAATAAAATCAATCCAAATGAGCAGCTTGTCTTGTGTGATTAAGTCATAATATTCTTATGAAATGCTTGCCGTTTCGCAAGAACCTTATCTGTAAAATCATTAATAGAATTTCTGGGTGACACAATAATAAAAAAATTGCACTTTAGCACTTCAGTTGTGTCATTTAGCATTGCGAATTAACACACCTGGGGGGCAAATTAATTCAAAACCTAAGCACGAAATCCTTTTTGCCTCTCTGGGTTAGGGAAAATGTAATGTGGTTGACCCGATCAAAATTCGCTTTACAGAATTCCATCCTTTCCTCAATTCACATGCACTTTCCGGCCTTACTATCAATAAAACCGATTTGTAGGTCAAGCAAAGCACAGTTAAAGTGAAGCTATGACAAAGGTATGAATGATATAAGGAAAAAAGTTTTGCGTCCTTTTCGATGAGTGATGTCAAGGTCTGAGTCACGATCTCCTTCAAATATTTTCTACAGCCTGAATTATAAAACAATTCAAAGTCAAAAGTAAAAATGCACAGTCCTTTTTTTAATCAAATATTTGGAAATTTAGTAGCAAAACAGGCTTTACTTTTCTATTTAATCCTATGTATGTGTGGTTAGTCACTAATCCAGCAAGTAATTGGGATAAAACATCTATGCAAGTCAAAATTTGAGTGTTTGACAGTTGTAATGAATGAATTAAAATGAGCAGATCAGTAAGTGCTGCATCAGGTAAAAGCATTCTGTAATACATGGAATAAGTCATTTAATTTAATCCCCAATTATTCATTTCTCAGTGTTTCTTATGTGTAAGACTAGAAGTACATTGTTAAATAAGCGTAACACCATCAGCAGCCAGAAGACATTTTAAAATTCTTGTCGAATTTTGGTAACTTTGACACACTAGCTTGAGGAACTCATAAATTCTTCACATTTCCGTAGTAATTAGCAGACTTCTTTTGATATCGACTCCACAAAATAGCGGTATGTTCCACGGACTTCAAACAATTTTTTTACAGGATAATTTGAGCAATAAATGCTACTCATCATTTTTGGAAAAATAATAGATGCTTCGCTCATTGACAGCCTAATAAATTTTCTTCTGTCAAATCTGATAGGTGCCCATCAGCTGTGAAACAGACAACGGTATCGATGCCATTGCTGCTGCGAGTTTTTCCTGCAGTAAGAGACTTATAAATTCTCATGCATAGTTAATGCATTCTTAATTCTTGAGAAAGGGGAATCAGACAGACCACGTAATTGCGTGGCTTCTCAACTAGATGACACGAACAATACCGGTGCTGACATGTAGGTGAAGTCAGTCAAATCCCTCCCCTAAGGCTGGACATATTTAAACCTCGACATCTCCATCGTGCAGTCCATTGTTGCTAGCATCCCTCTCTTTATTACTTTTGTTTTCCATTTTTACCCTTTTTTCCACACACTTTTTAAGTCACTCACGGTAGTATTCGGCCTTAATGATTTATACGCAAAAAAAACTCACAACGTAAAATCACTGATCTAACACCTGAAGTGGTGTATAAAATATGCAAATTCCTTGATGCCTTTTGATCTGCTTGAGTACCTCAAATGTGAGGTGTATCCTTTAAGCCATCCTCAACTATTCTGTGTCAGCACATTTACCAATGGACCTGATTGGGCAAGTATCCCTGTCAGCTGCTCTTACTACAACCATTACCAACTTCTTTTTTAGATGCCTTATGAGTCATTTAACATCGGATAAGGCAAAGTGGCTCTTTTTCAAATCTTTTATCCAAGCTTAATCAAGACCAAAGCTGCAAAACTATATACTCTCGTCTTTGCCCGGCATTAATACAGGGCTAATGTCGAATTTGGAAAGTATAGTACAGCCATAGGTACTGCGCTTTGATTCTGCTTACAAAATTTTAATGTACAAGTCTAAAGTGAGCGCACCTATCTTTTCTACGCAGGGATGAATCTTTACTATTGATGCTGCTAATAAAGAAATAACTAATTCCTAAGAGAACCACGATTGAGTATGGTTTCGCAGACACCACATATTCAAATAAACGAGATGGTGTAGACGGTCTCGAATGCATAATCTATCTAAAAGATCCCTTGCATTTCTGCTTTGACTTTGTCAGACATTAGTAATTTGGGTTCTTGTAAATGGAAGGAGAAATGTGTCAAATGAGATGGACTGTCTTGTTCAATTTTACAAGGGACTTAATGGCGTAAATAACTCGCCGCTGGCTGTTGTGCAAGCGAATTGGCTACTGTGGTGCATCAAATTTCAACAAAGAAACTTACTTAACTGGTTTTATTCTGTTGGAATTAAAAAAAAGATCAAATGGCGACTCAGTGTTGTCCAAGAGACAACGCATGTGATCGAGACTTTCGTGTACCCAGCAGCAGTAGTACGTTTTTCTACTTTCATTTCTAGTTTTTAGTTGGATAATTTAGTAGTAGAAGCCCTATAAAAGCTACGTAATCACTAGATTTGAAGCTGGCTTGACAGTCAAATTACCTCACTTTTTCGCCAATTCATAAGAGATCGAATTAATCTTTAAACCAATCGCATTTAAAGCAGTCACGACAGAGGAAATAGTGTCTAGATTGGGTGAATTTATAATAGCAGGTGTTTGCAATATACCCGGAACGCCTCTTTGCAACGATGAGCTCATACTATGCAGTTGGAATTGATATGCATGTAGTCATATTGGAGTAAATATCTTGAGACGAAGGCAAAATTCTTTTGGCAAATATTTCAGTCTTTCACTGCACATGAATACGTGACCTTTAGCCTTCAATTGGGAGCAATCTGAGTAGAAAATTGACGGGAATAGATAACTATGATTCCAGAAGTGGTCTTGGCAATGCCATTTCTCAGGTTCTGTAAACGGAGCCAGACATACTGTCAGTGATTATGTGCAATCGACTTACTCCTTTCTTTATTCAAGAATAACTTAGATTGGGGTCATTCGGACTGTTTGCATCCAACCATGGCATTAAATCTCACTCATTAAAGGTTTTCTTATATGGTAAATACAACAATGCTGGGTTTTATCATAGTTTGCTGTATTTTTGGTGTCGGAGAAAAAGTACGATTTCGCTAGGGCTGAAATGGACTGAACTCAACGCACTCTGACGCATCAAATCCAACGGTGCAGGTTGTTTTGAAAAAACCGCTTTATGCACAAACCAAATTCGACTATTAGTTGTTCCCTATTTCTAAGTCAGTGTGCATGAGAATAGAGACAGCCTTTATTGCATTTCCAGTGAAGCAAACCTAAGCCCGAGAGGTTAAATCGGTAGAAATGGTTGTACTTCATTTTTCAGCCTAAATGCAGGGCAAATCTTTGGTCTAAGCATATGAATGCCTGGTATGAGCCACTGCTAACTTCTTTACAGCCACCAGTTAGGATCAGTCCATAAGTTGCCAAGACTTGTACACATCATACTACCACATGAGTACTTTTCGTCCAGCCCCATGGGGTCAGTCAACAGTCTTAGGCGTGTTTTTTCCGATTCGTGAATGTGTGCTTGTATGGTGAGTGTAACTGTGGATATGTGATAGATTGCAATATCAAGCGTTTAATTCCTGAGGACCAAACAATAGCCACGGCTGAGGTCTATTTGCTCATTGCAATTGGAAGGTGGGCCTGAAATAGCTCTTTCTGAGAAAGAATTCGTACAACAGTCAGTACTAGACAATCAATGATGCCAAAGTTCTCTTCTTTCTGTCTCTTTATAATGCAAGACAACATATATATATGTATGCTGCATGCTATAAACTGACTTATTATAATGTTTTCATTGGAGGTAAGGGAGGGGAATACACACATCCGTAAGAATCAGAT